AACAACTGCTCAATTGACCTGACAAACAGGCAAATAAAAGAAGCAGCAACCTAAAACGTTTAAGAGATTTCAACTGTACACTGTTCTTTCTCCAGCACTTTAGTGTCATATTAGGAAGGGAAGCTGTAGCCAAACAAGCCTGGAATGAGGAACTCTGCCTTGATGCAGGACTCTTAAAAGCCCCTGGAACATACTAACTTGGTTTCTCTTTAGGTGGATCCTTTTTCACAGAAGTGGCTTTCTGAGTCAGAAAAGGCTTTGACAAGCTGAATGAAGAGTAATCATATCCAGAGGAAGATGTATCCTTGCACGCTGTGGAGTTAAGTGATTAAAAAAAAAGAAAATCAATACATAGAAAAGCCCATAACAGAACACTTGACATATTCACATTCTCATTACATTCATTTCAGAACATACAGAAACCAAGCTTTGCTTTGCAATAGAACTTAATAGCTTTTTAGGGACAGGAAATATTAAGAAAACATTACTGAACTGTCAGAAAGCTAACAAAGATGTCAAGAGACACTAACAAAGATCCACCAGTATTGTAAGACTTATGACCAGAAGGCAACACTGATCAAAAATGATGTTGTTTCGAGCCAAATACCGTAACTTTGTTAGGCCAAAATCTTCTTATTTAAAGACGTTGTTTCGAGCCAAATACCATAACTTTCTTTGTTAGGCCAAAATCTTCTTATTTAAAGACAAGTAGTCCCAAGCTAGCTTAGAAAATTATGAAAGGCATTCCAGAACCGTATTTCCTTTAAGTAGACTATTTCAATAAGGCTGTCTTATGAGAAAATCTGCATGAAAATATTAAACTTGGTGGCGCTCTAAAGGCTAAACAGTCTGGGAACCATTGAACTAAGATCATTTGATTATTACCAGTCATGGAGACTGTGTCAGGCAACTCTGCCTCTTGAGCTTCTTTTTCTCCTTCATGGTCCGACACTCCATTTTCCTCTCGCAACATTTCCTTCACGTTCTCATCTCCGTTCATGGCATCACTCAGATCCTGCGTGGCTGGACTCTTTCCTATAGGCTTTTTCTTCTTCTTGGTTTTCACTTTTGGTTGGATACTTCTTTTTTTCTCTAATTCTATACTCTTTTTGCCTGTAAAAGATTGCAAGTTACCTTGATATTATCTGTATAGATTTTTAGTATATAGCTGTCTGTCTCTCAAGATCAAAATTTAGTTTCCAAATAAATAAACAACTCAATTTAAACCTAGACACAGTTTATTCTGGGAGAGGTAGCAGGCAGATTTGAATTCAGCATAAAAACTTATCATACGACTTCAGCATGGCAACCCTCTACTTCCCAGCTCCAACTTCATTGTCAGGTAAGGATCTTGTTTGAATATACGTACCCTGAGGAGGCCGTGTATGTTCCTGCTTCGAGATGTGCCACTTGTGAACTGCAAAATCATCTGCTCCTGTATAAACAGAATCTGGATCCACTGGTGACCACTGGACACTCAGTAGCCGGCCCTGGTGCCCTCGGTAGTTGCAGAGTGGCTCTTCCTTCATAACATCCCATACCTGATAAATAAGAAAGAAATCCACTTCCTCAGAAAGTCTCACCTTCCCCTAATACTCTGCATTTTCTCTTCAGTGATTTGCACTTGTATGAACTTCTTCTCTAGGGCGTTTACACAGGTATTTCAGATACCAACATGCAAATGGAGAAAAGTCAGGGCTTCCTTTGTTTGCATCCATATGTCTGCATAACATCTTTCTTTTTCAAGGATCCAAAACTGCTAATATGAAAGTGATAATGACTGGACTTACGAATCAATTTGCAAGTCACAAAAACAAATGGATACCTGCATATCAGGTATCCAGAAGCAGGAGATGGTTACCAAGGGTAAACCTGCAGTACTTCAACAGTTGATCTCACAAAAGCAGCTTTGCTGTTTAGTCAGCTTGGTTCTAAAACGCTATAGAATGGATGATTTGAAACTAAATGAAACATGCTTGTGAGTGGCTGTGGAACAATACCTGTGCAGTACCATCATAGCAAGCAGATACCAGTCTTCCCTCATGGTGGGGGCTCCAAGAGAGGCTTGTGATTTTAGCTGTGTGCCCAGCCAGAGTTCGAAAAGGCTCCGTTATTGTCAAAGGACTTTCTGAAGTGCTCTCTGAAAGAAAAAAGAAAAGGATCAAGTATGGCCAGCAAGACAAACCGAGAGTAAACCAAAACCAAGATGCCAAGACTTGGAATATAATCTGCAAACAGTTACCTACGATGCTCTTCAGATTATGCACATAAATAGTGGCATTAACTGAGCCTGAAGCTATCAAGTAGCTCAGCTCTGGCTGGGTCCCATGCTCGTGATGCCAACGAATAGCGTTAATCAGTTTATGATGCTGCTGGATAGTGCAGAGCAACTTCAGGTTCGGCGCCTGAAATATTTCAATTGAGCTGAAATTTAAGAACAACAGTGTAAGAACTCCACTAACAGAGCATGAAACGGAGTAACTAAATGAGCTTTTCTTTTCTGGATTCAACTCAAACCTCATTTAGTATATCAGCAAAAGTGCGTTTCAACCATGAGTGGATCCTTGAAAAATAACTGAACATGATGACGTGAATCTCCCACACTAAGAGCAGCTAAACCAAGTAACAGCAAGGAATGCTGTACTATCACAATGCAAATACATCGGCAGTGAAAGAACAGAGACAAACCAGGGCAACAAAAAGGACTTTTGCTTCACTACAGTGATTCTAGTCTGGATCAGCACATGTACAGCCTTAAACTACAAGTGAAACATACCCATCTTCATTGCCAAGAGCCAAGAGTTTGCCATCTGGTTTCCAGCTGATCTCTGTGCGTGCAGGCAGTTTGTGCTGTAGAAAGAAGACACAAGTATTGCCAAAACCCCCAAAATCTCTCTTGCTTACATTCAACAGAGCAAGACTGGCAACTGGATACAGTTGCAATTAGCCTGCAAAACGAATGTCACAAAAGGATCCATTGCATTTTGTAGCAGTGACATAAGCTTGGGCAATTAAGAAAGACTGAGTGAACTGATGTGAGAACCAGTGATTATTTTTATCAGTTCAGTGAAACATCTCAAAGGGAGTTTGTCTGGATTCCAGCAGGACCTTGATGCTCGATCTCCTTATGTTCCTTGGAAAGCCCCAGACATTGCAAGCAAATTCTATCATCTTTCAAAAGAAATCAAAGTTTACTTGTAATTATTTCTATTCTTTCTAATTCAGATGAAAACTACTTACAATTTAGATGCGTAAAAATAATCCTTTCATTGCCTGTGATGTTAGTCTGTTAACCCCCAGTGAGTCTTCTACTCAAGAAAGAAGCCAAAACCCAGCTGATACGAATCAATATAGTTTTATTGACTTCAGTTGACTTAAAGCAACTGAAGATCTAACCCATTTCACTTATTTCATACTTTCAACTAAGAAATGACTGAATAGTTGAGAAGATGTTACAGTCAGTTATGACCAACCACTCTGCATTAGCTGCAGTGTAAATGGAAAGAGATTCCTACAAAATCATGACTGCCTTTACTGCAACATTTATTTAAAAAAGAAAAATTTAACATTTGAAACAAGAACTAGAGAAGTTGAGGTAGTTAATTCATGCACATCCACCACGTGATCTAAGCTATGACATTATTCAGGATATTACTTGAAGTGCTTGGAAACTGGAAAGCTCTGTGTGAACTAATTATTTTAAACAGCCATACACAGCTTTAAAAACTAGACTCTATAAAAAAATATCCTTTTCAGAGGCAAACAGATAAACTGTTTAAATAATTTGAGTCAGTAAGTGTCTCTGAAGTTCATCTGTGGAGACTGCGAGTTTCAAATTTTTTGTTACGGATTCATAATGAAGGCATAATCAGAAACCTACAATTACAAGGCTGTAGAAACTATGACATGGTTATCACAAATCCGTAACCACTCCCCCCCAGTCATACTCACTTTGATTGAATTAGTGTCTTGGATGACTTTGTTGATGTCATTTGCCTCTCCATTAAGCTTCCAGGGGTTGTGCTGAAACACAATACCTTCTCCAGCACAACTATATAAAGTTACAGAGGGCTGTTCACCTTCTCCTCCTATCCAATAGAGAAAAAAGCTAAATATACTGTGCTCTTCATCAGTCTTAGAAGGAGTAATCACTCCCTCTACAATCAAAACATTATTTTAAAAGGCTAGATACATGCTTCAATTGCCTGTGATCCAGCAGCAAGAAATTCTCACAATAGTCCTCTGAAAGGACATCTCATTTCTACCAACAGATCTCTCCATATCACAATCCCTGCAAGAATTAAAATTCCCTTTAAAGTTTGGTACTTTCAAATCATAGAAACATACTTCTGCAGCAAAGGAACCCACATTTGAAATAAACCAGTTACTACCGGGAGCATGTGCAGACAGTTACTGGTCTGTAAAACCCTGAAGTAAGTGCAGAGGTGTGATACTCCACTCCCACCTACTTCCTGAAGCTACCAGAATTCAAAAACTAGATGAGATTGTTTTGCTCCCTTGCAAAACTATTAACAATTCCTCAAGCAGAATGCATTCTTAGCTGCTGGAAAGGATTGCTACCAAGCAAAGGAGGCTCCTTTTCCTAAGAAGGGAGGGTGTAACAACTTCATGGCCTCTGTGTGCTCTGCATGGATGATGTACTTATCACAAGGTGCTGGAAGACTCACCAGAAGACAGAGGAGGAGTTGGAGGTCCCCAGGCTAATGTGTATACAGTCTTCTTATGGTAAGTACTGGAGATCTGAGGTGGCTTATTCTTAGCACTGGTCAGGAAGATAAGGAAGCAGGGGCAGTCAGATTTAAGCAAAGAGAGAAATAAGCAAATAAATAAAATATCAAAGCAACATATTTCCAGTGGTGAAAACAGACACCAGGTGCTGTAACATACTAAAGCAATGGCTCAACCAAGCCTTCTTGAACATGCCCTGTAGGACACTACCAAAACCAGCACAAAACTGTCCTGATGACCTGCACCTGCATGTTGCTCTTTGTTCTCTGAAAAATATCTTTCTGGCTAAAGTGTTCCTTGACTGATGTCCTCTCACAGAGGATCTCTGGTCATGCACTTTGAGTAAGACTACCTTAGAAGCTACCAGACATAATGGAGAGATGAAAAGATGCAGTGAAAATCCAGCTGTTTGACTAGTTTTAATTTAATCCTACTCTTCTCTACTACTAAAGGTATACCTCAGGAAAGACTGCACCACCGATGCGTGGTAACATACCAGCAGGATCTGACATGAACGAACTTGAATGCTACTTTCTTACCTGCTGGAGAAGGTGTCAAATATGCCAACTTTCCCATCATCTGTTCCAAAAGCCAAGCAGCCTTCTTTAGTTGGATGCCAGGATAACTGCAAGCAGAACAAAAAGAGACCCATAATGACCCCTTATTTCTAAATAATAAACAAAAGGAAAACATTGAAACCGATGAGCAAGCACCATCTCTTATACCCACCCTTCCAACTAGAGCCACTTGATCTGATCCCTGTACTACGAGTATAAGAGGCTTGCCCCCTACCAGCTGTTGTGGGATGAGATGAAATGGACTAAAATCATTAAAATACTATTTTAAATCTACATTACAAAATACAAGTGGAGAATAGGATGGTGAGAAAACTTTTGGTGTGAAGAAGAAGAACTACCATGTTTTAATGCTGCCAGCAATTTTACCAGGCAGTAGCCTCTGGCTAACCACTGGTCAAACTCAACCTGAAGACACCCATCTTGGTTTCTGTGCTTGTCAAACTTCCTTGCAGAGCAAGAGAAATCATGGATGAAGCAAGGAAGGATCACAAAAGAAGCAAGAAAGTAACGGAACGGCCAGCTGGCCTTCAGCTGATCTTCACAAGATGTGATGGAAGCACCTAGGGCTCTAAGAAGGTCTAAAAATTTGTTGCCAAAGTGCTTTGCATACAGAAAGCATCAAGTACCAAAGGAAGAACTTGGCTTTACAGATTTTTAGTTAGGAAAAAGCTTCTTCGGAGTGAAAAAGAAATATTCTTCAAAGAGAAAAATGGAGCAAGATGAGGAAAAGAGACAAGAGAAAAAGGGAATCAAAAGCACACTTACTGCTGTAACCTTGGCCTTTATGCTTTGCCAGAAGGTTTTAACATCATAGATATTGTTCATGGACAAAGTATTCCACACCCGGATCATGCTGTCTCCAACACCAATGGCAAGACAGCCCGTGTCCACAGGGGAGAAGGCTAGACTATAGACGAATCCTCCAAGTGAGGGCATTGTCCAGCTACAGTCGAGAGTTGATAGGTCCCAGCACTTCACCTGAAGAATATTTAAGGAATAAGGAATCGTTAAACATAGAGTGACTCGTATGACAAGGAAAAGCAAAGCACAAGTGAGATGAAAAAAAGGGTCAAATTCAAGGCTTGACATAGTATGTGATCTGCACCCAGAGGATTACGTGTCATGGACAGGGCTGTAAGAGTTGTAAGACTGCAATGGAATGGATAAAATTACTGTATTTTAGTACTACGGTCCTCTTCTGACTTTGAAATAGGACATGCTCTGCTGCCTGTAAAAGGCAAAAAAGTTAAAAAAATGTATTAAAAAATAGATGCTTTATTCTGTACAAGTAGATGATTTTTACAAGGAAAAATAGGCCTTTTTAAAATGAAATATACAGGAAAGAGATGGTAAACTACCTTTGTTAAACAATTACCATTCAAGTCCAGGATGTCATAACCATTTGCTCCACCACGGTAAGAGCTTGAGCTTATAAACTAACAAAAATATACACCACCTGTGCTCAGAGCAAATTTTAAGCAATGATGTTATAAAACGCTGCAGTAAACCCACTTTAAGAGAAAAATTGTGGCCCTGAAAGGGGTAGCCTCACTCAGTCAAACTGTATAGGTAAGGCTATTCTTACAGTAATTTTATAAATGGTTCTTACATCTCTGTCCATTGAAATGGAAAACAGGAGCTCTTTGTCTTGACACTTCACAGAACTGAGATTGAACACTATTCGTGAGTGATTTTGTCCTTCTGAAGATCCTAGAAGCGTCCACTTGCGTTTTCCAGATTGGGCCAAATCCCAAAGTAGCAGTTCTCCTCTGCAAAATTTAAAGTGTGTACTTCATTGTTCATTTCAAAAGAATAATAGTCTATAGACTCCATTACATGTATGCACACTGCAAGAGTGATACTGCTAGACAACGTGCTTACACACACACACACACTCCCCACCCTACAAATTATATCCTTAGTTAACCACACTGAAAACCGACACACCATTTTTTACCCACCAGATGAGCAAACCTACAATCAGTACTATTAGCAGTCAATGCTCAGTTGTCAATATCAGACAAATTATGGGACACGTAGTAGTCTTCTGCTACTGCACTCCCACTTAACGCTTGGCCTGTCTTCTCTCCAATTATACTGGGAAGGAAGCAGATGTCAAAAGTTCCCTACTCGGTTCTTCCTTAAGTATTAACCTGTAGTTACTGACTGTACCCAGGCACCTGGGCGTCCTACTTACCCAAAAGAGCTGGATACAATTTCTGTGGAACGGCCAGAAGGCCAGTGAACAGTCAGCCAAATGCGCTCTTTAACAGCAGGATCCACGGCTCCACCTCTTCTCTTGGTGGGTGGCAACTTCAAAGTCATTACACCTACAGAACCAAGAGGGATCCTCTAGACCCAGTACATCAAAATTCCCTGAGATAAGAACAAGTTGTGCGAATCTGAAGCACTGAGTATGCCCCCCATGCTTGAAACTATCAAGTCAGCAAATGAAGGCTGCAGTTAGAGAATTCTTCCACCATATTGTCGTTGTTTATTTCACACTATTAATCTTACTTACTTCTGCCTCTAGTACAGCTCCATATTCGTATGGTCTGATCTTTGCTTCCTGAAGCCAGGTAACAACCCTTCTTCGTGGCTGTGTCCTGTGTCAGGTCCCCATTTGGAACTTTGCCTTCCTCTGAACGAACTACCGAATACCACAGAAGTCACGTTATTATACTTGAAGATTCAAAGCTTTATAAAAATTAACTGAAAATATACTGATTTGCATCAGAACATTCTTTATAGGACTTATCAGTTGCCTTTGCTTAGCTACTTATTGACTTTTTATAAGGAATTAAATTCTTTAGGATATTTACATGAACTAAGAATTACTTCACAAACTACTAATCACTTAGACATACCTTGGAGTTCATCTTGCCAAGCAGGTAACCTTTCCTCACCAGGCACAGGGCACCAGGCCAGACAATGTATTTCATCGTCATGGCCTCTTAGCCGATGAAGAACTTCTCTTTTCC